CACGGCTCCCACTGCACCAATACCCTACTGGTCGCCTGTCACATCTTTGCAATTCCAGGCACCATACCCCTCCACACCCCCGCCATCAGCAGCTCCCCCGATCACTCAGCCCTGGCCCGCACCATACGCAGCCCAACAGTACCACCATACACTACCTCCACCGCAGCCCCAACCCGCCAGCACTTTTCTTGGCGACCAGGCCCAACCACAGCCACACTCGCAATACATGCTACCACCAACACAACCACCTAGGCCACAACGAGTCCAACTCGGCCAAGAAGAATACCGCACCGAAGATGACCCATGGTGCAACTATGGTCGCGGCTGGGAACGTCAATAAGGAGGTTTGTCCCACTACTGAGCAGCCTGATGCCACCTGTAGTGTGTTGCTCTACGCAGATTAGACTGCACAATTGGGTCCACATGCGGTTTACATTTCACGTGTCTTTTCAATTTTCAGCATTTTCTCAGGGACTTATCATTTTCATTCTCATTCATATCGTGGACATCCTGCTCAACTGCGCCCGCCTACCGTTTCACATCGCACCACGAAAAAATTGGAGAATTTCTTCAGATTTCACTATAGTCGTCGTGTTGGATGTATGCTTTCCTGTTTTTATTGGCCATCGTGCCTCTGGCTTTACTGCAACCAACAGCGAACGTCCTGCATTACATTTACATCACCTTTCCTTGTTTCAGTGATTCATGTACTCTACTTCACAGCTATCTTGCTCGAACGCTCCGCCTCGATTTCTTGCCACTTTCGATCCTTTTCAGCCAACATGGATGCACAATGGCAGCAGCTCTACTGGCAACACTACCTTCTCCAACAGCAACAGCAACAACAGACCTCGGGCCAACAGGCGCACCAGTACACTCCTACCGGCACATATGGCCCACTCACTCACGCAGTCCGCACGCAACAAGCCCATCAACACCACCCTTACACTCCATCGCCTGGCACCTCGCACCAAGCACACACCTCCTCACCCTCAGCCAGCCAGGCTTTCCCTCCTCCGCCGCCACCTCCACTGCCAACAACAGCTCCGACCACTCCGACCAACACGTCTTTCAAGCACAGCCCATCACATCCAACACCACCGGCACCGCCAGCCACCGTCCCTCTATACCTCCACCTACAGTTCAAGACTTCTGGCACTCCACAGAGTTTCACTGGGACTCCCACTCCGTTCACGGCCGGTCGGCGTAGCCGGTTTGCCCACATTCGACATTTTTTCCATGGCTCCTGGCATATCATGGTACAGCTGATTATACAGCTCGTACCCTCAGCCATGGAAAGTTCTGCGGCATCATACCGACGAGGAGTATCGCCGAGTCGGTTTTTACCACACACCTTTTTGAGGAAATCAGAGACCGGTGCTTTGATCTGGACGCCATCGCAGAAACCCTTCACACTGCACAAGGCACCACCATCCCCAACAAGACGACCCAGGCACGGGCCTTCCACGCCCCTTTGATTGCTCTTATCACCGAACAACTCCAGACCCATGCCCCACCTCCTCCGAAGGCTCAGCGCGCCAGAAACTTCAAGCCCATGGACTCGAGCTTACACCACGAAAAGATGCTGGTCGTTCGTGGGCCGCTGCCACCCTTCCCAGCGCTCCCAATCCCCCGGCGGACCCTGCACCCCGCCAACCTCCAGCTCTGGCCGACGTCCTGCAACCTCCCCCTGAGGCACGGACTGCACCCGCCATCCAACAGTGGATGCGCACGTTTGACTCTGCCATCCAGGACTCCGCCAATGAAATCCTACGCATCCTACAAACCAACAAGATCACCACCGACCAGCTCAAAGAAGCAGCAACCCGCTATGGCCTCCCCCCTCACTCGGGCGAACAAGCTTGCGATTAAGAGCCTCCAGCAAATCGTCAGCGTGGGAGCAGCGGTGGCGTGCTGACTCTCATTATCCAGCCAATTTCAGCCGCACTCCAACCAATTTGCAACTCCTCCACCGCCTACACCAGGCCCTCTCCACCCTTATCCATTACAGCCAATACATTGAACGAGCCGAAGCCATTTTTGCCGTCGGACTTATCCACATCACTCTACTCTTTTGTTACCCTTCTTCCACCCAACGCTCCCAACAATGGCGTCAACGACTACAACACCTCCGGGTGCTTCCCCAGACCTATCACTACCACCACTTTCTCTCACCCAACTCCGTTTACGTCAAGCTCTACTTCAACCACCTCTCACCACACAGATGCTACCACCAACACGGCCACTTCTACATTGGCTCCACCGGCATTGGCATCCCCCATCGGGAACACAACCGACGCGCTAAGCTCAAACAACTCCAGAACAACATACCAGTCTCTGCAGAGCTATCTTTACGATATTGGCATTCCTATACAACAATATGCACCACTTCACCCCAATCCAACTCTCCTCCCATGACAACTACGATCAAGCCTGGATCCAGGAACATCATTACATTTCCAACTGGATGCCACCTCTCAACTGGCCGTTCATTTCCCAACACCTCGAGCTGAAAGCCGAAGGATGGCAGTTCACAAAACATCGAGCCCACTTCTACTCCCGCCTTGCCACCCACAAACGCCTCTTTCGCAGGCTTCGCAGACGACAACAGACGCTCCGAGAACCTTACCTTTTCACCTCCACCAAACATCACGCCCTCACACTCCTTCGCGACCTCACAGAACACACGCTTGCTTCCTTTGAAGCGGCAAAACAGCTCCGCAGTGGCCGACACACAGACCTAGAAGTCTATGCCATTCGACGTATGGCAGCCAACCTGGAAGAGCCAGGTCGTACCAGAGCACTGCACATTATCAACAAAGCACTCCACTACCGCAACTTGACCCCTCCCAAACAACCTTCCCCTTACCGTGCCTTTTCTGGCTCACACAGACTTCACCAAGCACTGCCAGCAATGGTTGCAGACGACCATCCCACTACACCTTCCTACACACCGCCTACGTGAAGCAGCACACAAAACCTTGAGGGCACAGCTCCACAACCATCGCGCCTGGGAAGAAACCCTCCACACTCCGCCACAGGCCAGCGATCTACCCTGTGCCTGTGCTCACCTTCGCACACTGCTTCTTGATCCGGCCACCTCCACCATCAACGATCACTACATCCTCACCCTTGATCAGCTGCAACTACCTTCGCACCTTCGCATCTTTCTCGCAGCCAACATGAATAGCACTTTCTACCCCAGCAAAGCCAGGTATTTCCTCACTTTCCAAACCGCCTTCTCAAAATGGCTGCGTGCTCAAGGCCTACCACCTTCCCTTGTCTCCAACACCAATGGAGACTCCACACTCAACATCTCAAACAACAACCACGATTCACGGCTCGTCTCATCCGCCAGCTCCAAGAGTTTCTTGGCGACAAGGTTGTTCTCCACCATGCCGATCACGAACTCCAACAGCTTCGCATTTTCTGTCCACGCCAGTACTTTGCCGGTGCTCTGAACACTTGGCACTCTCCGGAACTTTTCGAACCACTTCCCCATTTGACCTTATCCAACCTCCACGACCACCTCACCGCCACCATTCCCACTGTCCTACGAACCAAGTACAAGTGGGGATTTCGAAAAGACTTCACAATCCCTTACCGCATTGTTCACCTAAAAGAAAAGAAGCACTGGAACAAAGGACGCACTATTATTTCGTACTTCCACTCCCTCAGTGGCAACCTTTTGCGCATCACCAGCCGAGCACTTGATACCATCTTACAACACCTTTACCCCCAGCACCCAGGTCAACTCTCTATACCTCAGCTTTGGCGTCACTTCCACTGCTACCTTGCTGATACACCACCCGACATTACTCTCTACGCCACCAATGACGACCTCGTTGGTTTCTTCAACTCCGTTCCACAGCATCGCCTCATTGATGCCGTCCACTCCATGATCCAACACTGGCAACACCAAAATACGACCCACACCATCACAGTGGACACAAAAGCCACCGGCAATCCGTTCCATCATTCCCACATCGGCCGACATCACACAAAACATCCCACCCAACGGACAATCCACACTTCTGACATCACCACCATTGTTGCCTTTGCACTCAACACTTGCATTTTCCGGGCATGCAACAACACATACAAACAAATCAGAGGGGCCGGGATTGGCTCCCAGCTCTCTCCAGCCCTGTGCAACGTTGCTATTACCTTGATCGAACACTCCTGGCACCAGCTACACAACAACCTTCTTCAACATACAGCACTCCATTTCACTTACTACCGATACGTCGACAACCGTTTCATTGTCCACAACGAACACTTCCTCTCCCACCCAGCCATCCAAACTTTGATCCACCACAACTTCTTTGGGGACCCTGTCGAACTGGAACCAGTTGACGACTTCCACCTCTTGGGCTTCAACATTGACCTACCACAACGCACCATCACCTACATCCAGCCCACCCAACCCTGGAAAATCAGGGACCACACCAGCGCCGGTAGCCAGCGCTTGGCTCTCTCCGGCTTAGCTTCCAGACTCCACGCCATATACACCTATACCTTTCCACAACAACAAGCAACAGCGGCGGCTGAAGAGCTGATACGCCTCTATGTCCAAAAAGGACATGACTCTGCAGCCTGCAGGCGGTTTTTGAAAAAAGTCGTTCCACTGAGCTTCACTGCGCCGATTGCGGCATTCTGTGTGTGTCAACCCCTGTTTCGAAGGGTCCTGATTTCCAACAGATTTTCGCAGGGGAGTGCGGCGTGATTGTGGGACCGCACTCAACGAAGCTACCACAATCACGGGATACCGAGTCTGATCAACTCGGCGTACCTGCTACAACTTTTGAACACGCTGTCCAATTTGATCGGTTTGATTCATGGTCCTTCATGATACCTACCCCTTAAACCTTTTCTCTCAGCCACTTTCAGCAGCCGCGCGTTTCATTGCTTGTCACTGCAGTTGTGCGAAAACATTTTGTTGAAACATCTTCAAATCATTGGATCTGTCACCGTGCCGTTCCATCACCATTTTCCCTGGCAATTGAGTTAACTGAAAACCCAAGTCGAAGTGTGTGTTTGGTCTGCGGATCCGAGTCTTCACATTCTGCCTCTGGCTCTGGAGAAGTGCCGCACTCATCCACAATGACTTGACACAACTCAATGTTCTCCTTCAAACGTTTGCAAATTGCAACAGGCTTGGCACAAATGCGGCCTTTGATCCAACTCAGGCTAACGTGCAAAGTCAACTGATGTCAACTGCATTGATCTATTTGAGTGTGATTCACACATCACATAGATGCCATTAGATAAATACAAAAGAAGCTACTAGGAACAAGTGCATCGCTACTAGTAACAGGTGCCTTCCTAGTAGGAACAAGAAGCTACTAGTAACAAGTGCATCGCTTCTAGTAACAAGTGCCTTACTAGTAGTAACAAGAAGCTACTAGTAACAAGAAGCTACTAGTAACAAGTGCATCGCTACTAGTAACAGGTGCCTTACTAGTAGGAACAAGAAGCTACTAGTAACAATTGCATCGCTTCTAGGAACAAGTGCCTTACTAGTAGTAACAAGAAGCTACTAGTAACAAGTGCGATACCACTCCATGATATCACTCCATCTTCGTCCTTCTGCAGCATCTGGGGAATCCAACTTCGACGGCAGGAGCAGTTGGTCGCCAAAATGATATTGCAACCTGAGTCTGGTGTGGTCTCAAGTGTTTTGCAAAGGCCCCTTTAGCAAGACCCTTTTAGAGGGGGCTTTACTGTGGCCCCATATCTTTTGTTTCTTAAAATCTTTAGGCCTTTGTGACTTTATGTTGCTTTTCTTCCGAGGTTTCAAGCATCAGGATGTCCACTCACTGAAGCACCCCCATCCACCCATCAGTCATCTCTTACTCTCAGGTGGCCTTTCTTGATGCTATCGGTCCTGCATGTAATGGGCATGCTGGATCCTTACAATGTCTGCAACCATGTCCGACAGAGAGGATTCGTTGGGCCTTGAAGAAGCCTCATGTCTTGCAGTCTTGCCTCTGGCTTGAACTCACCGCCCCGGAGTGTAAGTCTCCTAGCATCTACGAGCCCAGAAAAACCTGAACCATCCTCCCCACGTTTGGTCTCTGAGGATCAGCGCTCTGCAGCTCAAAGGCGCGGGCTTCTCGGCGAGTTTCCAAATAGGAAGTCCTGCAAGAAAACTTTGCCTATCTTGTAGAAGCTTCGAGGTAGCCCTGTTGCTTTGATGGAGCGTGTACGAGTCAGGCTGCCAAGCGAAATCAAAGAGCTTCAAAAAAAATGAAATAGAGTTTGGAGGCAACACAGTTCGGGCCCGCAAGCTTTGACTCCTCTAAGCCTGCACTTGGCCCTAAAGACGTTGTGGATGCTGAGTATGTAGAAACATACATGTGAAATCATGTGAACACAAACACCAGCTAATTTCTACATCAACATTGCAGGCCGGATCGGTGCATTTGTTCCAGAGGTTGGAAGAGCAAGCTGGCAAAGAAGCTCTCAACACCGCAACCTTTTCTCTTCGCTCGAAGCAGCGCTTCAGCTGCGAAAGCTGACGTCTTCAGCCGGAACATTGATCGAAAGGTCGGAAAAATAGGTTTAAAAGCCAGTAGAAGCTCCTGCCCACCCTCGTGATCGAAACAAATTCAATGCGAGTGATATGCTGAGAGTCACTATGCTTATGAGTATCTTCAAGTGTGACATTTCTCCACGACTTAAATGTGCTTGAGCTTTCAATCAATTCACACATAAATGGATCTGTAGCATTCTGTAGCTTGTGAGAACGGTAGAATTAAGAAAAAAGTGTCAATATCCAACTACCTGGCTGACCCTACCTGGCTCAGCGGCCAGCAAGATCCAGCAAGGTTGAAATCTTCGGTTGGACCTTGGTTGGAACATGCCGAGCTCCGACTTCACCGACGTTCCGCTTTCATGTTCAATCGTTGCTGGTAGGACTGGAGATGACTCAGAGACTGTGCAAGAACTCGTTTTCACTCCTCATTTGAGAGGCCGACGAGCGTTCCAGCCCTCCAGGCTGCTCACTTTGACCGAGACCTTAGAGCACCACAAAGAGAAAAACGCGGACAGTGAGGCCTCCAGAGAATGGGCGCAGCATTGTTCCTAGCAAGCGGCTGCAATAAATAAGGTTTTACGGAGACCTATGGTGGCGCTCATGACAAGCCTGACACCACGAGCTGTGCACCCACCCACTCAACCCTTTCAAGAGCTTGTGACATAATGCCGCCATCCATGCAGAACCCAAGGCACTAAGCACTTGCTCTTCAACCCTTCACGAGTATCTCTACGAGGACTGGTGACAGAAAGGATCGCACGTTTTGGTTAACTGCATAGGTCACACATAGCCAGCAATCGTTTGAAACTTAGACCCCCCCACCTGACTTCGAGTGACAGGACACATGGGATGATGTTGTCTGCACAAATTTATGGTGGCAAATGTAAAATATAGCTTTAGCCAGGAATTCCGTGTGAAATCCAAGATTAGCCAGGTGCTTTCTGTCTAGATCCTCTTGTCGTATGATCAACATGCATTGGCAGTAGCATCACTACAAGTACAAGTTGCCTAGCAAGCCTTCTTGTCTGGTATCACCAACATTCACAAGTGGCACTATACTCAGGGCTAATAGAAACCCGCTGGGCTAGTGACATAGGAGTTGTGGGCCACAACGACCAAGTCATGTCAGTATATCGACAAGGTTTGCCAAATGCTGTACCCTGGACGTTCTGCTAGAACATAAATCAAAAAAGTTATATATATATATAGTATAGTATAAAATATATGGTTTTCAAAATATAAAGACACACACACACACGAAGAGGAAACATGACTTATGAAAGCTTCATGCCAGGTTCTGGTCATGACATTCTTGCGTGTCATTCATGTCATAGTAGCGTTTGAGTTTAGCCTGTGATTTGCTGTCCTCTTTAAATTTGGGGCTCCTGTGGAAAAAAGAACATAAAAAAACATGTGCCAAAGGGCGGTTGGGATATGCTCAAAAGAACACAAAACACACTGGAAATGCCAATCTACCACAGCCAAGAATGTTCTCCTGATTTCATGTGTTCGCTCAGGTTATTGGCAATTGTTTTCGCCCAACCGTCACCTTGAACAGTATCCAACAAGAGCGTCGAATGCTCACACCTGGGTGGTCGATTAGTCCCAACTCAAGATTTCTGGTGCCAACGCTACTAGGAGCAAGGACGCTACTAGGGGTTCCTGGCCTTATTACTAGGAACAAAAGGACGCTACTAGTAACAAAGGGCATTACTACACTAGTAGCATTCAACAAGAGGACGCCTTCCAAGATCTAAAGGATTCAAGAGACGAGCCAACTCCAACATCAGGATCTTCAGCGCTTCCACGAACCTGAAGAGACCAAGTCTTCGGAAGCGACATGATCCATGATCCATGAGCTGTCCGACAGTTGCTCTCGGCAGGACCAAAAATTAGTCCTTTTCCTTTTGTACTGAGGCCTTTTCTCTTTTTAGCCCGCTCCTACTCGATTAAGTAGGCGCCTACTTGGCTACTCAATTAAGTAAGGGAGTAAGCTACAAGGCTAAGTTAGCTTCTAGGATACTTAACAGTGTGGTTTTGATTGGTTTGCAAATCACAACCTTTTGATCGCAAAGAAAGATTGTCGAACACTATGAGGCCATGTAAACCTGCCACACAGGCATCCTCAAAAAAAGAGCGAGTGCAGAGAATCCTATCCACCAATACCAGAGCCCACCTTCAAGAAGGCGTTGATGGGGTCATCGATGCTGCTCCGGAGCACCCCACTGAAGGTGTCCAGCTCAGTAAGATCTTCGTCTTCGACCTTAGCTCCTGGTCCGATCTAAAAGAAAACATTGGAAGGACTTCTCTAAATTGTAATCTGGCAGATATGCGTTTTTCGTATCCATAGTTATTCTCTCTGAGCTCCAATCATAGACCTCTGAGCACCGTGCGCTGTCGATACCAACAACTATGCGAGGATCAGACCTCACGAGGTGTTCTATGGCATCTGACATATTTGTTCTAGTCCATCTTGACGAGAGCCTAGAATCAAGTGGTGTTCATAGTTTGCTCTTCAGAGGACTAAACCATTCTGTTGAATCCATTCCACATGTCAGCTGGAAACTGACAGCCGCAACTGAAGTCCTTCCCCTGCTTCTCTTGCTGCACGGCCCAGAAGCACTGTAACTGGGCTCCCCAACACAGAGCTGATGTGGCCCCAGGTATTTCCCTGGAAGACGTATGGTGCTCCATGGCTGTCGCTGACCTGTGGCTAAAGTCAGAAGGGCGACCAAAAGTCGTGTTGAAATCTCCCGCTCGGCTTGCCTCAACTTGACCATCCCGAGCATGTTGTTTGGAAGTCAGTGTACAGTTGCATCTCATTCAGTGACAAAGGGTGCTTGGATCAGTATGTCACATGCGCGTGCCCAATCCACCACTCCGAGCCTCCACAACTCTGCGCTTCTTCTTGGCCAACGGGCGAACCACCTTAGGTGAAAGTTTGTGGCCATTGTTGCTGGAATGTTCAAGCATGTCTTGAGAGCTAAAGAGCTAGCATCCGTCTCAATGAGACCGCAAGGTGTGTGTGTGTGTGTGTATACATATATTATGTAACACCAATGGGTACTTAAGTACCGAACACCTGGCACTTCGAACTTGGCGTTGTCAATGGCACCAATCTCATGCAAATCTTCAATCTGCTCCTTGGACATGCCTCAGGCATCTTGATGAGGCGTCAAGCACTCAAAGCAATCGGTTGCCGTCATGCCCGATCTTCATGTCAGTATACAGTAGACTAAATGACCAATGAGAGCTGTGTCTATTGATGATCTAAATCTGGCAGGTACGCTGAAGTGCGATCCAAATGCCATATTCCAACAGGACCTGTTCGGTGTGCTCACCCACCCTGGGTGGTGGAAGGCGGTAATCCACCTTGGTCCTCGAGAACTTCATGGGCGATCCAATGAGTGAGACTGGCTCACTGAAGCCCGGAAGGTTCATCTGGATCTCCATGTCTCGCGACCTTGGCTCTCCACACGGTGCAAAGGCTTCAACTCACTCAATAGTTGGGATTGATATTTATATTTAGATATATTATATATACTATTCACAGCAAAAGATGCAAAAGCCAAGCACCAAGAAACTGAACATGAGGGTCAGCGAAGACTTCATCCAAATGCAAAATGGGAGCGCAGCCCACCATCTCGCCTTCCAGCTTCTCCAGCCACCACAACTTCGGATGCTGTGAAGTGATCTCATTCAAGGCAGGCGTCACCACCTGGCAGCAAGAAGGATCGTCCAAAAAGACTACGATGTCTCCAGTCCGTTGGTACCAGTACATGCGGATATATAAATTGCTTTAGTTGCTGGTCCTTTACTGTTGTATGGCAATATCAATATGTTGTTTCTCCAGCCGATGTGCAGACTCTTGTGGAACGTGCTCACGGAGAGGTGCATTGCGCGTGCCATGCTTAAATGTCCATGGAAACGCGTCTCCGTGTTGTTACCTTTGCAATGCCATGCTCTTCTTCAGCAGTGCACAAATCTTCTAATCTGTTTGAAAACAAATGGTGCAGGGGTACACAGAAGGTAGAGACATTAATCAATCGATTGCTAGTAAGGGAATGCATCACTGGAACATGTTGCTCCAATACAGGCTGATGGCATTCATGTGTTTCCTTCAAGCGAGCTTTACAGAAAAGCAATTCCGTGCAAGGGACTGCACGATATAAACAGAGTTGTATATATATCTTGCCAAAAGAAAAGCCCTGTAATCAAGGTGCAACAGGTACTGAGAATTTGCATCGTCTGCATCAAATAGGAGTGTGATGGAGCCTCTTCATCTCACTATGGTAGAGTTTTCAAGATGTGCCAAAGCAAACACTACTAGGAGCAGTCCTTGCTCCTAGTAGCGTCCTTGCTCCTAGTAGCGATGCCAGGAGCCCTAGTAGCGTTCTTGCTCCTAGTAGCGATGCCCTTAGCGTCCTTGCTCCTAGTGTCGCCGGTTCAAACAAGAGTTCAAAAGAACTGTCCATTTAGGCAACAATGCCTTTTCCGCCAACAACTTCAAGATCTCAGCGTTGCTTCGTCTAATGTTGAGGTTCCAAGACTTGGTACACCTTTGAGTTCCATGCTGAGTCTTGGAATGCTTTGAGAAACGCTT